CTGGGAGAGGCTCCGGGAGATGCCCCCAGCTTGGGGACAGCTTATGAAAGAAGGGCAAATGCTGCAAATGCAAGCAGATAAACTGGAAACAAAAACAAAGAAGAAATTATTGTGTCGGAATGATAAGGAGCTGAAATCGAGAGCAGCAAAAGCGATCGCACCCGATCTTGGTGCTGCTGAGCGCGGTTCCTTGTCACGTTGCGCGGAGGTAGGGGAAGATGCGGGGCTACATCTGTGTGGGTGGAGTACCTGTGGATACTTTACGTGTAAGGGCAGAAGCGAAGCAGAAAGTGGCATTTCACTGTAACAGCTTAAAGCTGTAGAGCGGGGGAAGAGATTTCAGTTCCTCAGTGTGTGGCAAAAACGACGTGAAAACCCGAACGTCTGATGGATTTCTCTTCCCTTGATGGTCTAGGAGTGGGATTTGCAACACGGCAGGTGGGGAATGTGACTAAACCCACCGTGATTATCAGCACAGAGGGGGACAAAGTAGTGATCAGGACTCAAAGCACTTTCAAAAACACAGAAATCAGCTTTAAGCTCGGAGAGGAATTTGATGAAACTACCCCCGATGACAGAAACTGCAAAGTAAGTGAACTCCCGGGCTATCAAGTGGCTTCTTTCTTCTCTTCTTCCTCCCCGCCCCACCCCTGAGGCTCTGTCTTTGGTAGGGTGAAAGGAAAAAAATGTAACTTCTGCTGCCGCCAGTTGTAACACTGTGAAGGACAGGAGGAAAAAAGACAAGATTTCATCTTACTTGCCTGCTTATGCCATGTCTTATCTGAAGCAATGCATCACATCACATCACCACCCCCCTGTCTGCCTTCCAGTGCTGAAGAACTGTTAGCTGCCCATTTTTCAGTCCAATATCATTTGGCGTAAGTTTTTCCAGTCAAAATGGGGAAATGCTGCCTTCACTGAATCTTTGGGGGCTTAACATAAACATTATCCCAAAGCACAGCCAAAACAGTAGTTCTTGTGAGACTGGAACTCAAAGGAAACAACTTTTTTTTCATCCTCTGACACAAATAAGAATTGTATAGAGTTCATGCTTAAAATAAGGATGACTCATGGGCTTGGCTTTAAAATGGCTGGGACTACTTTATCATTCTAGATCCACATCCATCTATTGAAGGGAGTTCAATAGAATAGTGCAGGCAGAATGTGTGAGCAGAATCCCAAATGCCCCAAATAAATGAATGTCTTTGTGTTTTGTGGTATCTCACAGTCAGTTGTGACCCTGGATGGAGACAAACTAGTGCACGTACAGAAGTGGGATGGCAAAGAGACAAACTTTGTGAGGGAAATAAAGGATGGCAAAATGGTAATGGTAAGTATAGAGCTCAGTGAGCACTGAGATATGCTGCTAGCACTTCTCACATAATTTATCTCAAGTTTATGAATGGATAGTGTTACTTACACACAAACCCTTAAAATAATTGGTGATGAAAGCTAGCAGAGATTTTTCAAATATTTGTTTTGTTTTGTGTCATGTTTTAGTGACAACTAAGAAATTACCAGTGGTTTTAGGTTGGCCAGCCTGTGGATTTCTAGAGTTTTTTTCAAGTTTGTGTAAATGCTCAAGCAAAAAAAAAAAAAAGTCCTGGTGAATCAGAAAAGATACAAAGTTCTTGATTATATTGGCAGTGATCTACTGCAGTGCTAATTTAGATTTCTTTTAAAACCTTCTTTTATATATGCATGCATAACTAATATTTATTTATACAGAACAAATATTTCCCTAGGAAAATAAAATTGCAATATTGCAAGGAGTAGTAGCATTTTCATATTTAATAGGAGGAATAAATACTTTTATTATCTTGTTAAAAACCACGATAAACAACAATTGTGTGAAGAAAAGTATTTTTCAAATTCTTTTCCTGACTTTTCAGGAACAGGAGTATGGGGTGAATAAATAGCCTAAGTTACTATACCTGATATCCAGGGTGGCACTTCTTACGCTCATTTTTGGCACAGAGATGTGATTTTCCAAGCCTCAAACCTCTTCAGCTATACTAATCTATGACTTGGTTGTTGGAGAAGACTAGTTAGCTTGTTTTCTAACAAGATTGTGTCTGTATGGATGGAGACTTCCAAATAATTGTTTCCTCAAAGTGTACAGTCAGTGCAACACAATATGACAAGCAATTCCAGGGAAAACACATGCTTTGTTTTTTGGGAAAGAGCTACACACACATACAGAAAAACCTTTTTCTTTGGAATTGGAACATGGTGAAATGCCCCGTTCCACTTCAGGAAATACCTCAAGAACACACACACTGACATTATTGTTCTGCATAACTGCAGCAATTAAAATATTTGGTACTTCTAGCTACATAAGTGCACAGAATGCATTTATTTGACTACAAAGTCCTCCTTAAGTATATGTGTAATACTATAGAATACTGGTGTAGAGGACTTGGATTTTTAGACTGCCCATCTATAAATTTTTTTTTTTAGATTTTTTTTTTATAAATTGCATAATGTAAACCAGCCTTTCTCTAGCAAGGACTTCTTACTATGTGTTAAGTCATTACAGAAAATGGTCCAGCATCTAACGTGCCTGTCTTCTCCTTGGACTTGCAGACTCTCACTTTTGGTGATGTGGTTGCCGTTCGCCACTACGAGAAAGCGTAGAGTTTACCTGAGATGTGACTTCTGCTGGATGGATTCATGTGCCGTCCATGATCCCACATAGCTAAAATGCACATTTCTGGCATGGGAGGTTAATAAAGAGTTTTTTAGGCGGTGTTTTGTTTTGTTTTGTTTTGTTTTTTAAAGAAACCTTTCTGCCATCAAATTGGCAAGCTTGTGTTGTATAGTGGAACAGTTTAAACTTGGCATTAAATTTCTGAAACACTCACCTCTCTTTTTTTTCACAGTAAATGGAACATATTTGAATTGCTTTTTGGAATGCAGATCAAACAGAAATTAAAAAGTTTTTTAAACCTGTGCTCCTTTTGCATTTAATCAGCTAATATTGCAGTGTTCTGGACAGAGTTGTTCAAAGTTCCTTTCTGAATTGAACAGGAATGTACGTGGCACACAGTGCGCAGCAGCAGCAGTAGCCTCTCTGTGTGGTATGGCATACATGGGAAATGAAAAATTGCCTTCACAGGAAATCTAAAGCCCCCGTCTTCATACATGAAGACAGAGAAGTGAGAGGCTCAAGCCACTTTTGGCTCCTCTCTTTGCTGGGAACTTGTTATCCAGTGCATGCTGAGGTCAACAGATAGCTTTTGATGTCAGGGGGGATCCTGTAGTCTTGGTTTTAATAGTTATGACAGTTATTCATTTGGCGGTTTCTTTGTGCTAATAGACAAAAGATTCAAGTGAATCAAAATGCAAAGAATTGAAGTGTTTCACAGGGCTGGAGGAAAGGACCAAGATGGTAAAGTTCAAGACTGGGGGAACCTAAAGTACAAAGCTTATCTTTCATCAGTCTCCACAGGGGTGGGAGGAAAACAAAAGGAAAGCAGTACAAGACAAACCTTCTGAGATTCTCCCTGAGCTGTAGTTTCATAGCTAGTATGTACATGAGATTAAAATTTGCACTGTGAGCCATTTAAAATAAAATAGTGCTTTAAAGAGATAAATTAAAGCCTTATTCCTGAAGAATACTCCCCTGAAAGACCAGGGTGGGAAAAGCTACTTTATGCTTCAGTTTATTTAGTAAAATTGAAACAGGTTCCTGACAGCATAGAGATTGTTTGGGGAGCCCATGTTTTCTGACACAGACTCAGTGGACCACACTGAAGTGTAGCTACCTACAACCTTTCAGACTAAGGCAGAGCTGAGCTGTGGCTTTGGCTGGTCAGTGTGGTTTAGCCTGGGAGCGTGTGGCTGCAGAGGGAGATGCTGGGGAAGCTCCTTGCCCAACTTCCTGGGCCTAATACTGCACTGTGCTGTCCTTCAGATCTGCTACCTGGAGTTGTGGGAAGTGGGTTCTCGCTTCCCTGGATAGCTTGGGTAGCTCATCTCGCTGATCTGAAAAAAGTTTAGACACAACTGTGGCATCTAACCAACACAAATAAAAGATTTAATGTTAGCTTTACTTTTTCACAAAACAGCTGCCCAAAAGGAACATCCAAGTCAGCTTCCTCTTGTGCGGAACACTAAAAATCCTTATTATGAACTATTATAAATATATTTTACTTGGTGGATATTGATAATTTTTAAAGTTTGAGAGCTAGCTTTTTTCATTAGAGACATTAAAAGCAGAACTTGTTCCAGTGGTATGCGGAGCTGCAGTCTCTGTTTTGGGCTGATCCAGCTGCTGTAGTGCAAATTCTGTTTAAACAGCATCTTCTGCCCTTTGGGTTTGTTAGTTCATTTAATCCCCACCTTCAGTACCTAATACAGCAGTTGCCTGCCTCCACTCTGTTGCTGCCTGTGCACTCATCACATGACTGTCCACTCCTCAGAAAGGTGGAAGCAGCTGCTTTTCCTTCGTCACTGTGGAAAACAGACTTGGGTCACCAGTTACTGCCATTCATCTTCACAATATGTGGAGTGGTAAATTTTAAAAATAAGGTTTTTATTACATATAAAGAAAGGAGTGCAGAGACAGATTGTCAAGACTTGGTTTACAAATGACCCCTGAGTGGTAAATATTTTACATTACAATCACTTTTAAACAAAGGCTACTTTATGTTCGGTAAGTCACATGAAACCACCATAAAGCTTACTGAAGTCTTTTGCTATTTTAAAGATAAACCATGTCAAATTACATAATGGAGAGAAGAGGGAAGAAGTGGTGCTTGTGGCACTGCTCAGGGGATTGGTAAAGTGAGGGAAACGCACAGAAAGGGAACTTCCAGCTGCTGGTAAAGCAGTTTTGCAAAGCACTGGAAAGCCGAACTGCACAGTGAACAGCAGGACATTTGGGGCCAGCTATGGGATTTGTCACAACATTCTTCTGCTCGGCTCCTAAGCCTGACACGGGGTAGTCTTCCTCACTAGAAACTACTCCGATTTCAGCAATAAACAGGAGCTTTGCTACCACACTGGCTTAGCAACGGAGACCCATCTTTACAGTACACCTCAGTGTTTTCCTTAAATTGCATTAAAGGTGTACTTGACAGCATATTTTATCTACTTTTTTAAAAAAAAATTAAAGCATGTTAAGTAACCAGGATCTTTTACGTGTACACAGTGAGGAAACCTTCCTTCCAAAAGCAGCTCGAAGCTCCCGTGAGGCATCGGAGCGCCT